CTTAGTTCACTATTGTTTTTGCTTTTTTTAGGTTCAATTGTTGATAGTTATGAGTTTGTTGTCATTTTACTGTTCATATATTTTATCTTCTTTTTCTTAGATAAGTCTCTTTAACATTTCATATAATAAGGGCTTAGTGATGATGAACTCCTTTAACTTGAACTTATCTGGGAAGCACTTTATCTGCTATCCTATTCTAAATGATAGCTTTGCTAGATAGAGTCATCTTGGATGTAGGTCCTTGCCTTTCATGACTTTGAGTACTTCTTGCCAACCCCTTCTTGCCTGTAAAGTTTCTTTGGAGAAATCAGCTGATAGTCTCATGGGAACTCCTTTGTAGGTAACTGTCTCCTTTTCTCTTGCTGCTTTTAACATTCTCTTCTTATCTGTAATCTTGGGTAACTTAATTATGATGTGCCTTGGTGTGTGCTTCCCTGGATCCAACTTCTTTGGGACTCTCTGAGCTTCCTGGACTTCCTGAAAGTCTGTTTCCTTTGCCAAACTGGGAAAGTTTTCCTTCACTATTTTTTCAAAGAAATTTTCAATTTCTTGCTCTTCCTGTTCTTCTTCTGGCACCCCTATGATTCAGATGTTGTAGCATCTGAAGTTTTCCCAGAGGTTCCTAAGCCTCTCTTCATTGTTTTGAATTCTTGTTTCTTCATTCTGTTCTGACTGAATGTTTATTTCTTCCTTCTGGTCCAAACCGTTGATTTGAGTCCCGGTTTCCTTCCCTGCACTGTTGGTTACCTGTATACTTTTCTTTATTTCACTTTGTATAGCCTTCACTCTTTCCACTACTTTGTAACCATACTCAACCATTTCTGTGATCATCCTGATTACCAGTGTTTTGAACTCTGCCTCTGATAGGTTGGCTATCTCTTCATCTCTTAGTTCTTTTTCTGAAGTTTTGGTCCGTTCTTTCATTTGGGCCATAGTTCTTTGTCTCTGTGCACCTGTTATGTTGTAAGGGGAAGAACCTTAGCTATTTGCCAGGGTGGGGCAACCCAGTTAGCTGCATTGTGGTGCTGTATGTGGGGGAGGGGTCCTAGAGGGAACAATGCCACTTGCTCTGCTCTCCTGGCTTTCAGTCACTTACCACTCTACCCACAAGTAAATTGGGCCCTTCTGGTTCTGATTCCCTGGTGCATGGGTTTGTGTTCATCCTAGGACCCTATGGGTCTTTCCAACAAACTCTCCTATGAGGCTGGGAGTTTCTCCCACTGTCACAACCCCCTCAGGTTTTTACAGCCAGAGGTTTTGAGCCTTTATTTTCCCATGCTGGAACTCTGGATTGCATGGTCTGTCTCCCTCCCCAGTTGTTCCTCCCAGTTGAAAACTTCACACACAAATGTGGGACCACCTAGCCCACCTGGTCCTCCAGCTGCCGCCTTGCCATGTCCTCTCCACCTCAGCTGCCCAACTCCACCCCATCTCCCAGTCTGGATGAAAGTTTCTTCTTTAATTCCTTGGTTGTCGAACTTCCATACAGTTTGATTTTCTGGCAGTTCTGGTTGTTTTTAAATTTGTTGTTATCCTTCTTTTGGTTGTATAAGGAGGCAAAGTGTATCTACCTACCACCAACACACTGAGTTTTTCTCTTGTCGTTTGGTTATTTTTTACCTGATTCTAATACTATATCCCTCAGAAGTGGTCACAGATAAATGTGAGTGCATTGAACAGGAATCCCAGTTTTCAGAACAACAGCTTAGTCTAGTTTGAAGGCCTTTAGAGAAAGACTGTACCTAAGTGCCCTTGGATGCTTGTGTAACACTGACAACTTTAACTATAAAAGTAACCCCTAAAAATAACCTGTCTTTGCTGTGGTTTAAAATAAACTTCACCTATTGTGGCTGCTGCAGAGAGAGGGTAGCTGACCAGCTACAACTATTACCTCCTACATAAATTAGTACCTTACTGGTTAATGCTAACATCTATTGAACGCTGACTCAGAAATTTAACTTTAGTTCTTATACTCTTGGATGCTACCCTTTTAGTCCAAAGAATAACCTCCTTCCTACTTAAATTTAGATCCTATTTAAATTCTCCTCCCATCAAAGTATCTCAGAGTGTTAAAACTGGGTGACACCTGGGTGTTCATCTAGCCTAAACTCTGCAAATGAGTATCTTCAGTTCCTTTGAATTCTTCAAAAATAAAGAAAACAGAGGTTCAGACAGGCAAAGTGATTTGCCCAAGGTCACTCAGCTAGTGAGGGCCTCCCTAGAATGCTCCCCCATTCTCACTTGATGCCAGAAGCCTTCCAGGCTGGGGCTATTCCAAGACCATCACCTCTGGGTCCAAATTCCTTTGTCCTCTGCCAATCCCACTTCACCCTCATCTTCAGCCTCTCCACCGTGCCTCATCCCCAGCAAAGGGGTCACCACAGGCTCCTGCTGTACTTTCCACACTTCCTTCCTGCTTCTGCTTTGCCTCACCTTCAAGTCTCACAGGTGCAGTCCCTCTGGTGTGTGGTCCAGCAAATCTATAAACCCAGGCCTCAGGGGTCAAGACCAGTCATTTCCCGGTCTCTGTCCTGATTCCTAACTTTCTACACATTATCTCCAATACATTCTCTACAACCAAGTTCCATAAGTTTTCAGTACCTATATTTTCTTCTAGATAATTTATTGTTTCAGATCTTATATTTAATTCTTTGATCTTTTTGTACATGGGGACAAATTGTAATCTAGTTTCATTCTTTTGCATATGGCTTTTCATTTTTCCCAGCACCATTTATTGCAGAGGTTTTCTTTTCTCCATTGTGTGTTTTTGGCTCCTTTGTCAAAAATTATTTGCCCATATACATGAGGGTTTATCTCTGGGCTCTCAGTTCTGTTCCATTTGTCTAGGTGTCTGTTCTTCTGACAATACCATGCTGTTTTGATTATCATAACTCTGTAGCATAATTTGAAGTCAAGTAGTGTGATACCTCCAGCTTCATTCTTTTTCTCAGAACTGCCTTGGCTATTCGGAGTCTTCTGTGGTTTTGTATAAATCTGATGCCAGCTGCTCTTTCTATGTCAAAACAAAGAGGGCACTGTATGGGATTTCTGCTGCCCCAGGTTCTCCCTAACAAAGTTGAGCATCTGCAGGCAAGGATTTTGTCTTTCATTTCTGTGCCCTCGGCATCTAGCTCAATGTCTGAGAAAAAAACCTTTGGCTTCCACAGGAGGCCTACTCCACTGCAGCCATGTCCCTAGTGATTCCTGAGAAGTTCCAGCACATTTTGCGAGTACTCAACACCAATATTGATGATGACAAAAAATAGCCTTTGCCATCACTGCAATTCATGGTGTGGAGCGAAGATATGCTCATGCGGTATTGAGGAAAGCATACATCAACCTCACCAAGAGGGCAGGAGAGCTCACAGAGGATGAGCTGGAATGGGTTATTATCATTATGCAGAACCCATGCCAGTACAAGATTCCAGACTGGTTCTTGAACACACAGAAGGATGTGAAGGATGGAAAATACAGCCAGGTCCTGCTCTATGGTCTGGACAACAAGCTTCGTGAATACCTGGAGCGGCTGAAGAAGATTCAGGCCCACAGAGGGCTGCACCACTTCTGGGGTCTTCATGTTCGAGGCCAGCACACTAAGACCATAGGCCACCAGGGTCTCACTGAGGGTGTGTCCAAGAAGAAATAAATCTCTAGGCCTTGTCTGTTAATAAATAGTTTATGCACCTGTGGAAAAAAAAACCTTTGGAGGAATCCTCCAAAATGTATCCTACCTTCATAATATATCCAGAGCCTGGCCACCCCTTGCCACCACCTTTACCACCACCCTAGTGCAGTCCTACTTCTCTCCTGCGGTCTGGGGCTACACTTCCAGGACAGTCACCATGAGCTGCACGTGACAGCTGGCCACTTGAAATGTGACCACAAGCATGAGCCATGCTGTAAGTGTAAAACACACACTGGATGTCAGGCTTAGAAACAAAGAGAAGAATGCAAAATAATGATAATTTTGATATTTAAGTGATACTAATTTTGATCTATTGGGGCTTATAAAAAATATTATTAAAATTAATTTCCTCAAATTATGGCTACAAGTACACTTACAATTACAACAGAAATGTAGCCCCATTATATTTCTCTCGGCCAGTGCTACTCTGGGGAATCCTTCCTTAGCCGGTCTCCCTGCTTCTACTCTTGCCTGCCTCCTGCTATCTCTTCTCCATAAAGGCAGCCAGAGTGATCCTCCAGAAGTGTAAGTGAAATCATCTCTCTCCCTTGCTCAAAAGCCCCCAACGGCTCCTGAGCCCACTTACAAAAAAGTCCAAAGTGCTCCCCATGGTCTGTAAATAGGACCTGCTCTCTGCCCCCTGCAGGGGGCACACCTGCCACCACCCCCATCTCAGCTCCTGCGCATTGCCTTCAGTGCTGTTCTTCGAGCAGGTCGAGCATGTGTTCACCTCAAAGCCTTAGCTTCTTCTCACCAGGAGCGCTTGGCCCCCAGATACCTGCGGCGGTTCTCCTTCCTGTCTCACTCAGATTTCTGCTCACACACATTCCTTGATCACCCTCTCTAAACCAGCACCCCTCCCTCCCCGACCTGGCTTCCCCACTTTAGCTTTCTTCATATCACCTCTCATTACCTACTGGTGTATCATGAGATATATTTTTATTTGTTTGTCTGTTTATTTCCTACCCCCTCCCCAAAAGAATGCAAGCTCCAAGAGGAGAGAAACTTTGTGTCTTTGATTTCTGGCGATCATAGATGCTTGGTGAATATTTGTGGAATGAATGAATGAATGCACACGTAGTGAACATATACTAAATAGGTGGTGAATAAATGACAAACAGAGAAAAGGGTCCCAGGGTCCTAGAAATGAGACCTGTCAGAATAGCAGGGGTGAGTTGTGATCAAGTTTGAAAACCATGGTTGTGGAAAGAAAAGAAGTGCACAGACACTGTTAAGAACTTTTGAAGAATGCATTTATTTACTTCTCCTCAGTTCTTCTTGCAGACCTTGCTGGGGAAAAGCCACTCAGAGCTTCCTAGTGTTTGTGGATATTCTCATGGCCAGTCTCTTGCACACTGGCCACCAGGGATATAAATTCACTAAACATGACCTGTCCATCTAAATTAGCATCCAGTTCTCAGAATATTCTGTTAATGGTGGGTTGATGTTTGGTGTTCTGAGGCAAGAGGGCAGCAGACACAGTCAGCTCAGACCCTCCTTCCTGGAGAGAGGAAGGGAGTCTAGCCTGAGGGGACAGAGTGAGTCAGCTGAGAGGGGGAGGTGCAGCCCTTGTCCCACAGCAGGGGGAGAACTTCCCTGGGTGCTCACACTGAGGCTGAACCCACCCAAGTCCTTACCCCTCGGTCACCCTTTAGTTCACCGTGACGGGCAACCACCGACCTTGATCGTGTTGTCAAGTTCCTTTGTGATCAGCTGCTTCAGCTCACCCTTGCAGAAGGCGTCGAAGTCCCCCACCTGAACTGCGTACTGGTGGGACACGTTGATGATTCGCTCCAGGTGGCCTTCCAGCTTAGTCATCTTCCCAGTCTCACGTTCACCTTCAGGAGACAAAGCGAGTCTAGGACAGCTCCTCCTCCACCCCCACATCGCATCTCTCCTCTCTTTCTGCATCAAAAGTTTAAATAAGGAATGGCTTCCCCTTGCATCTGCTTTGTGTCCTCTCAGCTCTGTGTTCGGTCCGTGGTGAACTGCTCATCTGTGGGTCGGGTGGGGGTGGGAGGCTATATAACACCATCCAACGTCTAAAAGAATCGGCCTCAGTTGCCACAGTTGCCAGTGTTCCACGGCCCCATATTTCCTGGGGAGTATAATTCAGAGGGGGTCACTCACTCATGCTCAGCTGAGGAGAGTTCGTGGCTCCCCAGGCTGTTCCTTTTCCCCAAGTGATGGCACTTTGGCCGCAGGTCCTGACAGACGTTCCCCAGCCCACTCACCTTGCCATCCCTGTGTCCTGAGACCGGGTCTACCTAGCACAGCCAGGGCTGTTCTCTTGGGTCCAAAATGCAGCCAGCCCTTCACTTCATAAGATACATAAGTGTCTAATCACTATGTTGTACACCTGAAACTAATGTATTCTTGTATGTCAACTGTAATTGAAAAATAAAATTTAAATTAAAAAAAATTTTTGGATTGAGTGCCAGCCTGTGAACTGAAAGGTCACTGGTTCAATTCCCAGCCAGGGCACCTGCCTGGGTTGCAGGCTAGGTTCCCAGTTGAGGATGTGTGAGAAGCAACTGATCAATGTATCTCTCATTCATTGATGCTTCCCTCCCTCTTTTTCTCCGTCCCTTCTCCTCTCTCTAAAAATATACAAATAAAATCTTTTTTTTAAAAGAGCAGTTCATTAACTGTAACAAATGTACCAGATGAATGTGAAATGTTCATAAGAGGAAAACTGTGTGCTAGTGTACAGGAACTGCTTATGTTATCTTCTCAGTTTTTGCCTAAATCAAAAACTCTTCTAAAACATAAAGTGCATGCACTTTTGAATGTGAGCGTGCATTGAGCACTCGCCACAGGCCAGGCTCTGCCTTCACTGACCCCCGCAGGGAGAGTGCTGTCAGCACGCTCATTCTGCAGATGAGGGAAATGAGTTTAGACAGGTTAAGTGACTTTTCACACTCTAATCTCTCTGCTTTCAAAAACTTTGCCTTTGTCACTTTTTCCCTAAAGGAAGAATAGTTCTCTTGTTATAAACAATAATAATAATAGCTGCTCATAATTTTTGCAAAACACATAATTTTGCTAGATGCAGATATTCTCATCAAACTCTGATTTTTGTTCTTTCAGTTTTTTTTCCTAATGCTATCAATTCTTTTTTTTTAGATTTTATTTATTTATTTTTTAGAGAGGGAAGGGAAGGAGAAAGAGAGAGAGAGAAACATCAATGTGCGGTTGCTGGGGGTCATGGTCTGCAACCCAGGCATGTACCCTGACTGGGAATCGAACCTGCGACATTTTGGTTCGAAGCCCAGGCTCAATCTACTGAGCTACGCCAGCCAGGCCTAATGCTATCAATTCTTGATTAGCCTTTAAAAAATTCTTTCCTTGATGCACTCCCAACCCCATCCTTAAGTGGAAAGTCCTGTCCTAGGCTCAGGGGCAAAGAAACACAAATTCCGTGGCTGCCCTATTGGGATTTGGTATCAGATGGGTTCAGGCACCTTCCTAAATCATAACGCAGAGAGTTCACCTCACAGGACCCAGGTGGAGAGTCCTGAGTGGGGCCAGGCCAAGACCAGCAACCCAGACTCCACACTGGGAAGGGGTCCTATGTGAGGCTGCTTTGCAGACCACAGTGGAGGGTGGGGAGCAGCTCTGTGCCCTTGGGCAAACCCTGACTTCTGTGGGCCTGTTTCTTCATTTGTGTGTCCTCTCACTGGTCCCATTTAGTTTCCAGAGTTGTGGTGAGGCTCAACTGGAAGAATATGTGAGGAAGTGCTTAAAAACAATCAAGTGTGGTGTTTAAATTTTACTTTTGTCCTTACGCACCCAGCATGGATGTGGATCATTCAGACCAGCGTGGTCACTGGCCACTGGGAGTCCCCTGCAAGAGACCTCCCTCCTCTGTGTCCTGACAGTGGTCACGTGGTGGAGGGGCCTACAGCCCTGTCTTTCCTCTGAGGAAGCTCCCCTCGCCCTGCTGAGCACCAGCCCAGAGTCTGTGCCGCCCAGCAAGGCCTACAGGGAGACGAGGAAGTCAATAAGCAGCAGGCACCTGGCACAGTTCCTGGCACGTAGAATAATGTCACTTGCCTTACCTTACTCCCACCTCCCACCTGGACCCCACTGAAAAGGTAGGATTGGCCCCAAGGCAAAAGGCCAAGCCCTGGCCATGCTCCTTCCTGCTCCATGGTGAGTGCCCCGCTGCTGACCTTGGGACTTCCAAGGGGATTACTGAGACCTGTGGCCTCCTGGCTGTCACCTGGACCAGCCCTGCCTCTCCCACTTGACAGGAACACCTCAAGGCTGGGACTAGGCAGAAAGGCTGATGCTCAGGGTGGCCAAGGAGAATGAAAGTATGCGACACTCCTCTGTTGAGGGTTTGAGATAGATAATACTACAACGGTGAATATGTGCATTATGCATTTGTCAAAACCCACAGATGTACAATGCAAAGAGTGAATCATAATGAGGATTATGGACTTCAGTTAATAACAGTGTATTAATGTCGGCTCATCAGCTAAAGCAAATGCACCACCTCAATGCAATAGGTGTTAATAATAGGGCACCTGGGAGAGGCAAGGCCAAGAGAGTATATGGAAACTCTACTTCCTGCACAATTTTTTCCTCTAAAAAAAGAGTCTATTATTTCATTTTAAAATTATTGCCGCAGCCCTGGCTGGTGTGACTCAGCGGGTTGAGTGCCGGACTGCGAACCAAAGGGTCACTGGTTCATTCCCAGTCAGGGCGCGTGCCTGGACTGAGGGCCAGGTTCTCCGTGGGGGGCACTCAAAAGGCAATCACATGTTGATGTTTCTCTCCCTCTGTTCTACCTCCCTTCGCCTCTCTAAAAACAAATAAATTTTTTTAAAATTACTGTTACATATAAAATCACTATGTACACATAGTAATAGCGTACTACACAATAAGGAAATAAGCTTTTCACCTGGCCAGTGTGGCTCAGTTGGTTGGGTGTCACCTGACAAACCAAAAGGTCACTGTTTCAATTTCCGGTCAGGGCGCACGCCTGGGCTGCGATGCGGACACCAGTCAGGGTTCATGTGGAAGGTGGTCAGCTGATGTTTCCCTCTCACATCACTGTTTCTCTCCCTCTCTTTCTCCTTCCCTTCCCTTCTCTCAGAAAGAAGAAAAGAAGCTTTTCAAATAAATTTTGAACCCAATTGATACAGATTCACTTTCACAACTAGAAATATACGTGTAATTCTTTTCTGAGGTATAAAAGATTTACTTTTAGAGAGAGAGAAAGAGGAAGAGAAATATCGATGTGAGAGAAAACCACCAACTTGCTGCCTCCCACTCCACCACACGCAGCCCGAACGAGGACCAAGGGAGCAGGGGCACCAAACCCACAATCCCGCAAGGGCCTGCAACCGGTGACCGACCCCCTCTGTGAGACAACACCCAACCAACTGAGCCACATGAACCAGGTTTAAACGCACATTCTTAAGACAGATCTTCACCTTCAAGAAAATTGAACTAAACGTGATCATGTAAGTATCCTGAAGAGCATATCAAGATAACGGCAAATTTTTTTAATGTATAGAAACAATGGATTAAGCCGATAAATCTGAGTAGAAGGTATATTGGAGTTTCTTGTACTATACTTGCAACTTTTCTGTAAATTTGGAACTCTATCAAACTAAGGCACATCAAATTGAAATTATATCAAAATTAAAAGTTACTCCCCAAAAAAGTACTCATGGCAACATGTGACTTTGTTAGTCACACCCAATCCGTGGGGAGGGGTACACACAGAGCTTACGGTGAAGCCCGGTGACCAGATGGGGCGGATGGCAGCCCACCAAGGTGGGTTAACCCCCCAAGGTATCCCAGAGACTGCCCTTTCAGAGGCACCTTCCCTAAAGCTACGCCCTCCAGGAGGGGAGGGGCTCTCAGGTAAGCAAGGAGAGAGAAAAAGAGGATAGCATCGCTTTAAAGGATGGGAGACTCTGCATCTAAAGAGGTCCCATCCCTGGAGAGGTGGAAAGAGCCTCAGATTGGCTCTAACCTCTGAGCAGTGGTGAGAGAGACGGGGAGTGTGACTTCCTCACCTGGCATGCACTTGCTGGCCCTTCATGTCTGCTAGTCACTCGCTGTCCAGGCACTGGGGGAAGCTGCCATGAACAGGACAGACACTGTCCTGCCCTCCCTGAGCTTACAGTCTGGGGAGGAGACAGAGTTTCCACAGGCATCTGGTGAGGCAGGGAGAGCAGTGGGAGAGCCAGAGCAGCAGAGGAACTGCTTCTTGTTTCAACAAAGGGCATGCCAGCTTCACCCTCAGTTCCTGCCAGCTGGGAGATCTTGTGTGTCTATGGAGAACACGGGGAAGGCGTTCTCTCCCGCAGTTGTTCTGAAATGCAAAGCCAGTCACTGGATGGATTTTCAAGAAAGATCTCAGGGTTTTCAGGAAGTGAGACCCCAGTCCCTCTGTGCCTTCCCCCTACTTTCCCATCACAACCCCCGGGCATGGCAGTGAAAAAGAGCTACCAAGTTGGACAAGGAAACCACCACCAAAGTGCCAAGGTAGGAAGAGGTTATCAAGGTTTCAGAAATAAAGATTTTTTTAAGTCTAGCCTGGGGACCAGCATTCAATACCACAGACTCCCCTGCATGCTTCATTGGCCTAGTTACCATGGCAGCATGGACTCTGAGAAACAGAGTCCCAGGGTCCCACGGTCCCATGGTCCCACACAGGACACCCCTGAGGCCTGGGCATGGACCCAGCCCCCTCTGCATTGTGCCCCTGCAGCACTGAGCCAGGTCTGTCCCTAAAACTGCACTGCAAAACTGCCCCCACCCCCCGGGCTTCAGTGGCCATGCTGTGCAGCCATGAG